CTGGTCACCCCCAACTGCCCTCCCCTGCAGGCCTGGTCACCCCCAACTGCCCTCCCCTGCAGGCCTGGTCACCCCCAACTGCCCTCCCCTGCAGGCCTGGTCACCCCCAACTGCCCTCCCCTGCAGGCCTGGTCACCCCCAACTGCCCTCCCCTGCAGGCCTGGTCACCCCCAACTGCCCTCCCCTGCAGGCCTGGTCACCCCCAACTGCCCTCCCCTGCAGGCCTGGTCACCCCCAACTGCCCTCCCCTGCTGGCCTGGTCCCTCCTAACTGCCCTCCCCTGCAGGCCTGATCACCCCCAATTGCCCTCCCTTACAGGCCTGGTCCCAACCAACTGCCCTCCCCTGCAGGCCTGATTGCCCACAACTGCCCTCCCCTGCCAGCCATCTTGTGGTGGCCATCTTGTGTCCACATGGGGGTGGCCATCTTGTGTGTTGGAGTGATGGCAATTTGCATATTATTCTTTTATTAGATAGGATTGGTGTTTCTGATTTCTTAGGATATAGTCCTAGAAGTGGGTCACTGGATCAAATGGCAGTTCCATTTTAAATTATTTGAGGAAACTCCATACTGTTTTCCACAGTGGCTGCATCAGTCTGCATTCCCACCTTTTCTCCACATCTTGCCAACATTTGTTGTTTGTTGATTTGTTGATGATAAACATCAGGTGTGAGGTGATAGCACATTGTCATTTTAATTTGCATCTGTGATTAGTAACTTTGAGTGTTTTTTCATATCTCTCTTTGCCTTCTGTCTGTCTACTTTAGAGAAGTATATATTTAGGTCCTTTGCCCATTTTTTAATTGGATTGTTTTCCTTTTATTAAGTTATATGAATACCCTATATATTTTGGAGATTATCCCCTTCTCATATTGTTTATTACTAATGTATAGAAATATAATTGATTTTTATGTATTGATCTTCTATCCTGAAATCATGCTGAAATTGTTTATTAATTATAACATTTTAATGGTTTCCTTAAGATTGTATATATACAAGTTCATGTCACCTGAACAATATATTTTAAAAAATTATTTACATACTAGAGGCCCAGTGCACAAAATTCGTGCTGGGGGGGGGGCCCCTTAGCTCAGCCTGCACCCTCTTGCAGTCCGGGAGCCCTCAGGGGATGTCCAACATTCTTAGCACTGCCACGGAGGAGGGAGAAGCCCCTGCCACCGCTGTTGCACTCACCAGTCATGAGCCCGGTTTCTGGCTGAGCAGAGCTCCTCCTGTGGGATCAGGCTGAAACTGGCTCTCCGACATCCCCCGAGGGGTCCCAGATTGCGAGGGTGCAGGCCAGGGGATCCCACCAGTGCAGGATCAGGGCCAGGGAGAGACGTGGGAGGTTGACCAGCCAGGGAGGGACTTCAGGACTGCTCGAGGGCGTATGTGGCCCGTCTCACTCAGCCGGCCTGTCTGGGTCATCTGGCCCATCTAGCTCATCTGGCCGGACTCCAGCAGCAAGCTAACCTACCGGTCAGAGCGTCTGCCCCTAGTGGTCAGTGCACATCATAGCAAGTGGTTGAGCGGTCTTAGCGTATCATTAGCATATTATGCTTTGATTGGTTGAATGGCCGGCTGGTCAACCAGACACTTAGCATATTAGGCTTTTATTATATAGGATATCAGAATAAAATTAATATACATATTTTATAAGCTCACTTTTTGGAAGCACAACATCCAAATAATTATTTTTACAAATTAACTACAAGTTAGCATTATCCATTCCTTTTCCTCCCAGCTCTCTCTTATTCCCATAGATTCCCAACACTCACTTCTGAGACCACTGGAGGCTTATCCCAGACTGGATGGAGAAAATCTGCACCATTTCTTGCTGCTCCTGGGAGAGGGTAGATAGGGAGCTGAAGGTGGGTGTAGGTACTGGAATGGAGAATGCACTCTGGGTTTCTTCTGTCCTGGCATTCCCCACAGTCAATATATCGTTCACGATGCACATACTGGAAGAAAGATCAGCCCTTAGACTCCCAAAAATGATCCTGCCCCCACTGCCACTCAGAAACAAGTTTCCTTCCATACCCCAAGTGTGCCTGCCCCCCAGATTCCTTGCCTGGTACCTCTGCCTCTCCCACTGAGCTCACCTTTGAAGAGATTGATTTATGATTCTGAGGACCAGTTTCACTCAATTTTTAGATTTAGTACTAATGCATTTACCCCTTACAGCAGCCCAAGGAATGGATCCTCTAATTCCCATTTTCAGAAGGGGATAATGAGTCACTAAGGTCTTATATCTTCACCAAAGTCACTTTAGCTAGCTAGCGAGTATTGAGGTCAGGAAAAGAATATAGTATTCTGATTCCAAAGCCCATAGTCTTAACCACTAACCTATATCTCTCTTTGGGTCTACCTGTTGGCTTTCCACAATACTGAGAAAAGCTCCAGGCTGCACCACCACATTCCTACACCACTGGAATTAGGCTAGGATGGGTGTTCATTCCCATGTTGTACCCACAACACAGCACTTACCTGGAATTGCTGCCAGAAGACAAGATGAAGGTCCGGGTGAAGGCATGGACAGAACCTTGAGACTTTCCTTCCACTTCAATAACAACAAAAAAGTAACTCCTCTTAGAGCTGTACATACTTTTCACACAAGCAGCATTCCCCCATCAGGGTCTTAACCTGATACTCTTGCAGCACCCTGATGGGAACCAGACCAGGACAGTGTTTCACTGTGACTCAGGAGGGAGTTTCAAGGACTGAGAAGACAACAATAGAGATAATCAACTCCCAGTAATAGGACCCCTAACATGTGTCACATCCTCTGACAAACACATGTTCACTTGATTCACTTTTTAAAGCATTCCTAGAAAAGGGTATTACCAGCCCATTTTGCAAATGAGAAAACTGAATGGTTTGATATTGGGTCCTATGTCACAGAGTAAAGAACTGAGATGAAAGCTATAAAACTCTACAGGTTGAGTCTCTAATATCTGAGCTGTGTTGAGATAAAAAGACATGGATGCATGTCAGAACACAATAGGTTTGGGGCAAGGTAGGTGTGGGAGAAAGGGAAGGGAAGGGGAGGGGGAAGGAAAGGAAAGGAAAGGAAAAGAAAGGGGAGGAGAGGGGAAGGAAAGGAAGGGAGCAACCTGGGAAGCGGGGGAAAGTTTGGGAGTAAGTCCAGTTAGGGAAAGGGAGGAGTAGGGGATCTGGGGAGGGAACTCACCTTCCTTGAAAACCCCACTGACAGAAAAACAGAGCATAATTTCCTGAAAGGAGAGAACAGTTATTAGGGCTCTCAGTATCCTTCTAAACCTCCTACCCACCTCTGACTTTCTTGGTCTGCAGGAGAGAGAAAACAGGTGCTCACCGTGTGGGCCCACAGGTCTACCACATAGGAGTTAAGGTCATGCTGAGTTTTGGGGAACACACAGAGGGAGTTCACAATCTCACACTTTGTATGCTTCAGTAGCTGAAACCGCAGGTCTGTGGGGAGGGGGGGAGGAGAAGGGAAGGTTGGGCCCTTGGCTACTATGATTGACTCCTTTACACCCCTTTCCCATGCCGATTTCCTATCATGCAATTACCAGAATCCTTGAGGTTCTTCATATTCCTGTTATCCTTTAAGTACTCGCACAAGTTGCTTCTAGGGGAAAAAAGAGAAACAGGAAGTGGTGGTCCAGACAGGGTAGGTGTTTCCAAGAGATGGTCTATGTCTGCTGGAGAGCAAAACGGCCCAGGATCAGAGTCTGAGCTGTGATACTCACAGGGCTGGGTCTTCGGAGTTGAAGGGAACAGTCAGGGAGAAGCAGGCCTCCTCGTGGTAAGCGCTGAGGAGACTCTCTCGGTCTTCAGAATCATAAATCAAGTAATAGCTGTGGGAGAAAGATGGGAACAAGCTATCTCTCTGATTTGGGCCCACAAAAGGGCCTTGAAAGCTTCTCTTAACTCATGGGCAGACCTGTGCTGTGTAGCCTTTCCTGTCCCTGTCCTCCTTTGCTTCATGATTCCAGGGGTACTTACTGAAGCAGGAATTGAAAGACTAGATTCTTCAGGGTCTCAGGTCCTTTAAAGCTTTCCTGGAATCAAAAGACAACTTCAAACTATGTAGGTAGACAAAGCATCCCTTGTAAAACCCCAGTCGTGCTTGATCTATTCTCACCTTACAGGGTTTTATTATGTCCATATCTACAATGCCAGTTACAGTTGGTGGAGGTAAATCCTGGCCATCCTGAATAAGGGAAGAGTAAGTTAGCAGTATAGGGAGGTGGTCCTGGGTGATTAAGGGAAAGGATGGACCCAGGAAACGGTGAAGGTCAGAGGTCAAGGGTGAAAAGGACCTGGAAATTCCATGGGCAAGATTCCAGTGGGCGTCTGCATCATGAGGTTCTGGAAGTCTCTACTGTTTATGCAACTTGTGTGTGTGTGTGTGTGTGTGTGTGTGTGTATGTATTTCTCCCTCTTTCTCTTTTCCTCCCTCCTGTCCTTGTTCCCTCTCTCCCTGGCTCTCTTTCTTTCTCTCTGTATGTGTATACAGTTTTGCAGAGATATTCATGGATTTTTTCAGAAGTCCATGTTCCCCCAAATGGATAAGAGTTTGATGCAAACATGTAATCCAGGCAAGACATAAAGGGCTTGAGGGCAGGTGTGGAGGTTGTCAATGTAAGTAAGAGATGATGACTGTAAGCACTTACCAAGCGTGACAAGTTGGGGAAATATTTCCTGATGGCGCTGTCCAAATGCAAAAATAGAAAAAGTGGTTGACAGTTTAGATTGCATTGCTGTAATTTACTTAAAATATTGATGGAATGAACAGAAACAGGTGTTCTGCCCACCCAGAATCCCCTTTGCCCTCCTCAGCCTCAGATTTCAAGGCTTCTGGGTCCATTTCTCTGCTGAGCACTGACCATCTGCCATATGGAATCCCTGAAACACACAGTCTCCTCACCTCTCTTTACACCTTCACATTCATATTACCTCCTTTCCTTCCTGTGCCCCTCACCTTTTCCCTCCTTCCCTCTCTCTCCCTCCCAATCCTCCTGGTTAACTCCGGCCTAGAGGGCCCTGACTCCTTCCCCAGTGCCACAAACCACAGCATTTGGATCCCAGACTCCAGAGCTTCTTCCCCCTCCCTGCCTCCCTTTCCTCCTTCCAGGCCACACTGATGGCTCCAGAGAGAAGAGGGAATGGGGTGGGGGCCCAGGACTCTGCCACCTCACTGGGGAACCAGCATCCTGCCATGAACAGCACATGCCCCAAGGATGGCCCAGGACTCTGGGGCAAGGGGGTGATGGAGGGAGGGATTAGGAGACAGGGAGTGGAAGGGAGAGGGATGAAGACAGAAAGAGAGTGAAAATAGGAGCAGAGATTGGGAAGACATTGAAGTGTAGAGACAAAGGAAAAACAGAAAGAAACTTAAAGGGAAGGGAAAAAAGTTCTGCCCTGGCAGTGGGGGTGGGGTCAGAGAAGAAGAGAAGAGGAAAGGGATATGGCTCCCCTGCAGCAGCTCTTTCCTTCATCTGCCCCTGGCTGGCCCTGGGTCTCCAAGCAGGAATGGAAAGCATGAGTCTGTTAGCCTGTTAGAATGTTGGTTGAGCCTTTGTCACCTGTGGGAGCTCAATGTGAACTGGGCATGGGAAACATACCACCCACGGGATCAGGACAGCTTCCCAGAAGGAGTAAAGGGCCAGGCCCCAGCTCAGCTTAACCTTGGGGATCTGTGACCCACTCATATAAAAACCACCTTCTCTCCTCATGGCCCCTGTGCATCTTTGTCTGTCTTAGTTGGTTTCTTTTCTGAGGAATCCTACCCATGTCAGGCTACCCAGGGCTCCTCTGAATGATCAGGCAGGAAGTGTGGAGGAAGGGTTTGTGTCCCTGAGAGGACTTTCTTTCTGTCTTCTCAACCCTCTCTGCCATCAGCTTTCCACTGCTGCCTCAAGAGGCCCTCCGCTAATTTCTGGCCCTTTAACTAGGGAACTCTGGATTCTCCCAAGGAGAGCCCAGCTCCTGGCATTGGGCCAGAGGAATGGATGCAACGATGGCAGCCCTCTGGGGGCATTGACAACAGCATGGGATGGGAAAGTCCTCATGTTAGTGTGGGATTGTAGAGAAGACTCCTTTGAAGAAGAGGAAATAAGGTTCTTCCAAGAATAGGATAGGGACACTCTATATCATCTAAGAAGCAAGAAGCCCTGTCTGTGCATGAGGCCCTGGACTAGAAGATCCTTCTTAATGCAGGGGACCAGCATCTGTCTCAAGGCTTGACACCCCTGATTCTTGTGATGAGGGAGAGTCCTGTTTCCTGGAGCACACTCTTGGGAGGGCATGCTAGAGAATGGTGGGTGCAGAGAAGTGGAAACCAACTCCACATGAGGTGATCAGGTCAGAGGAAGGAAAGGAGACTTTAAGCTCAGGTGAAGAGACACACACACAATCATATATAATAAAAGGGTAATATGCAAATCGACCAAATGGCAGAACAACTGGTGGAGGGGTGGGGCTGGCAAGCAGGTGGTGCCAGGCCAGCCAAGGTGCATGCCAGCAGACAGAGGGAGGGGACGGCGATTGGGGGGGCAGCGGCAACCAGTGGCAGCAGAATGGCAATTGGGAGGTGGGGTTGGCTGCTTGCCGGCAGCACACTCCCCTGATCAGCCTGCCCGGTCACCTCCCACAGAGGGAGGCCAGGCTGCGGCTTAGGCCCACTCCCTGCAGGGACATCCCCTGAGGGCACCCAGACTGTGAGAAGGTGCAGGCTGGGCTGAGGGACTCCCTCCCCCTGAGTGCACGAATTTTCGTGCACTGGGCCTCTAGTGAGAAATAAGAGGGCAGGGCATGTGGTCCCCCAGAGGACTAGAGGTTCTATATCCTGCAGAGGGACAGAGTCAGGAATAATTTGGTTCTTAGGGGGTGGAAGAAAGATCTCTCCCAGAAAGGGTGACAGTGTTTTCACCAACCTTACGTAAGTGGGCTGGTTTGGGAAGGTATTGCACAAGGGGTTCCCTTGCAGCCACAGCTCTTCGAGCTTCAGCCCTTTTATCTTGTCCAACTCCCTGGCTGACTTTAGCTGAGAAACATGGGGGAAATTGGAAAAGAAATATCAGGAAAAAAGGAACATCTGGGCTCCTGCACCCACAACCCCCTCTCTCTCCCACAGGTACTTTTGCATCCCTCCTGTCATCACTCTGATGACCACTACCACCCATTCTCAACCCAACTTTGACCTGGCTCCCTCTTCTCACCTCATTTTTTGAAAGGTTCAGGGTCTTGATTGTGGGGGCAATCTGTATAATATCGGACAGGCCATCCAGCTGGCACAGTTTGTTCTTACACAAGTTCAAGGACAACAGCTTTGGGGAATAAGAGTTAAGAGTTATTATCTAGGACCTGAGAGACAAATCTGCCCTCTGTTGGAGCTGTTCCACCCCCTACCATAACACCAGCACTGGGTCTAAGGCCTCACCTCAGGGATATTCTTTTTGATAGTCTGCAGGATGGCAGTCATGCAGTTTCTTCGATTCAGGATTATAATAATATCATGGCCCAGTAAGTCTTCAGGGAACCAAGAGTAGGGAATCAGAAGGTTGCGAAGGTTCCAGGACCAGCACCTCCCTCATTACCATTTCTAGGTCTCTCTCTCAGGCAGACTCCTCTGTCCTCACCTTCCCTAGAATTACTACTATTAGCTGTACCTGGGTCAAAGCGGAGCTTATGAAGGTCAAGAGCTTTCTGCGAAACATCATATCGTTTGCTTATGGTCAGCTGTAGAGGGAGATGAAGAGAGCTGCTCTGAGGTTATTGTGGTGAAAGGGAAATTGGGGACTGAAGGAGGAAGATGTGGGTCTGAGTGTGGGCACACAACATGCATTATGTCTACATTACCTTTAGCTGTTCCATTTTTTCTGGCTCCAACTTATTGCACATAGAGTAGGGTACAGCAGAAGTATTAACAAAGATAGGTATCTGCAGGAAGAAGAGGTGGGATAAGCACCCAGAACTCTAATGCCAAAGAAGGTTAGTAGCCTCTGGCCTGTGTTTCTGCTTTGGGACTAGGTACAAAAATATCTTCAACACATACCTTTTGGTTCTCCTCATCAAAAATCTTGTAGTTTATGTCCTTCAATGCAGAGGCAGCACTAGCATCCTGGACAAAGAACTGGGCCAGATGTTTAACATAGTGGAACTACAGGGATTAAAAGCAACAGCAATAATGTCAGTGGCCTCTGGCCCTAGCTGAGCCATGTCTCTCCCCCTTCCCTGAGCCTCCTCATCTGGCTTCACCATCCCTCTTACATCCACTGGAGTGAAGGGGACACTGCAATGGCTCTGGATTGAATTCATTAGCCATGTCTTGTCATACTTTATCCCATAAGGGACCTAAGGATGAGACAAAGGGGAGGGGTGGGAGAGAGAAGAGACAACATGGAAATAAGGCTAGAGAATAGCCCAACACAGTGTTTTATTCTGACCTCCTACCAAACTTTAAAAGACTTTAAAGTAGGGACCATTAACATGATTTCAACGTGTTTTGTTGTTGCTTGCCAGATATGGATTTTCTAATTATCCTTTTTCTCTATTCCAATATTTACCTCCCAAATAATCAAATTTAGATGTTTAAAACGAGCTTCCTTTAATAAGGTCCCAGGGAAGATCCTACCTATTAAAGACCTTACCTGTCCCTCTGATAAAAAAAAACAAACAAAAAACAACAACAAAAAAAACAACAACAAAAATAACTTTAGAGAATCAAATGGAGACATCTAATGAGTTGCTCCATCTCCTTGGCAGTAGTTTCTACCTTTGCCTGTAGTCGACCTTCCTTCAGTCACTCTGTTCCCTTTTTATTGCTAATCTGAACCTGACCTTTGGATAATCAAAGATGTTAATTCCTCCTGACCTTAAAAAAGTTCCTAGCATCTCTATATGAGATCAACACAACTCCCCTTGATCTGCCTCTCTTACACATTTCCTACATTTTTTCAGGATACTCACTGTGATCTTGAACCAGTCCCCCAGGTTTCCATCCTGTGTGTTTTCCATTTGTCTTTCTGGAGTTCTATTTTGGTATGCTTTAATCTACTTCACACCAATATTGTTAGGGTGGAAGTTAGAGAGGGTCCTGTAGGGAAGTGTATAGAAGTGAGTGTTCAGAAATGTACAGAAATGCTAAAAAGTTTCCTATATGCTGGGGGCTAATTCCAGCAGGTCATAATAAAGGCAAGAAGTCCTCAAAAGGTTGATAAGCTTCTATATTCAGCAGGGCTGAATCTGCTGCTGAAATAGCTGAAAGCATTTCCCCAAACCTGAAAATCTGCATATATTATTGCCTGCTGCCAAACAGCTGAGGGCAGTTCCCCCAACCTGACAATACTTTACTGTTTACCAAACTTTACCTTTGATATGTATATCTGCTTTGCTTTAGGGAAATTTGTTAATAAAAAGCAAGGGGTCCAGAGATTTGGAGAACTTGGTTACTATAGCTAAGTCTTCTCTGGATCCCCCCAAGAATGCCTTCCAAATGTATATTTCATGTCTAGTCTCTTTATTAATTTACTGCAGCCCCTTCTCCAGATTCCTGAACCCTTCTATATGCAGGGAAAGACCCCTGGCACCTATATATGCTCACCTCAATTATAACAGGTATACAAATGGGATTGTTCAACCATTATTCCGGTTCTATCACTCTTCACTTTTACAGCAAGAAAAGAAAAAGAAGACCATGGAGAGTGAAAGAGTTGCATAGTCCTAGGTGCTGCTGCATGCAAACTAGGCTATCTGAATAGTTACTGTCATATTTGAGGGTCCTTCTGGGAACCCCTCATTGCCTTGTTTCCATCATCCTCCTGAAGGTGAAAGGTTGATGCTCATAACTACCATATTCATAATGAAGTTTCCCCAAAATGATGGAAAAATCCCAACCTTTATTTTTCCTTGAAGAGAACTACTGCTATTATTGTAATTTGAAATTGAGAACAAAAATAAATTTGAAGACACATCAGTGGTCACGTACTGTGTACCACATCTTGGCCTAACATTATTGTAGGGAAGCCACATGTCAACCTGCCTGAGTGGAATAATCACACAAACCCCAGAAAGAAAACTCCTCTATCCCTCTAGATTTGAGAGTCTTACTCGAAAGATGGCATAATCAGGAAAGAAATCTTGAAGTAGGGAGTAACTGTGTGCAACCATTTAGAAAACGAGACAGGATTTATAAAGAACAAAAGTATGAACATACATGGGCTATACACTAGGAAGGCATATGAATTTTGCCTTCTTTCAGGACTCTCTAATCTATTAACCCTGCCACAACCTGGGAAGCAAACTCATACCTCCCAAATTTAATCAGATACAAAATTGATTTCATGACTAATTAACAAGTTGTACTTTCTTTTTTAGTACAGTCCAAACTTCAATGTCAGGTGAGACTGATGTAACAGCTTCCTAAACTGTCCACCTCCCTCCAGCCTTGCTCTCAACAATACTTTGAAATATCCTAAGTAAGCTTTCTTTTTGTTCATCTGGAAAATTCTAACTTCTGCCCTTTTATAACAGCAATCTCAACAATAAACTGGAACCATAGTGTGTATTATAAGTGTGTAGATATTTTTCTATTTGCTTCTGTTATAGATATATAGTTTGATATGGTCAGAGAACATATTCTGTATGATTTCAATTCTTTTTATTTTTATTGAAGTTATTGGTGTGACATTGGTTAATAAAATGGTATAGCTTTTAGGTATATAATTCTACAGTACATTATCTCAAGTCATCTCCTTCTATCACCATTTATCCCTCCTTTACCCTCTGCTACCTCTCCCACCCCCCTTCCCTCTAACAATCACCTTACTGTTGTCTGTGTCTATGAGTCTTTATTTTTTGCTTAATTCCTTCATCCTTCTCACCCAGCCCCCAAGCCCCTCCTCTCTGACAGTTGTCAGTCTGTTCTTTGTATCCATGAGCCTGTCTCCACTCTGTAAGTTTATTTTGTTCATTAGATTCCTCATATAAATGAAATCATATGGTACTTGTCTTTCTCTGACTGGCTTATTTAACTTAGCGTAACAATGTCCAGGTCCATCCATACAGTCACAAAAGGTAAGATTACCTTTTTTTTTAATTGCCGAGTAGTATTCCATTTTGCAAATATTATCACAGCTTTTTTATCCATTCATCTACTGTTAAAGATTTGGGCTGCTTCCAAATGATGGCTATCCTATCTAATAAAAAGGGAATATGCAAATTGACCACCATGCCATCACAAAGATGGCAGCCCACAGCGGAGGCAGGATTTCTGTTAACACAAGATGGCTGTGCCCACAGCGGAAGCTGAGTTCCTGTAACAAGCCTTAACAAGCAATCAGCAGTGACCTGAGGCTGCGTGGTGCTGGGCCGGGGCAGAGGACCTGAGGTTGTGCCTCCCCACCTGGTGGGGCTTGATAGGGGACCTCAGGCCATGCCCCCTGCCAGGTGGGGCTTGATGGGGGACCTCAAGGTGCACCCCCCACCCCGGTGCTGGGCCAGGGGACCTGAGGCTGCACCCCCCGCCCAGCGGGGCTTGACAGGGGACTTGAGGTTGTGCCCCCCACCCAGTGGGACTTGATGGGGGTCCTCAGGCTGTGCCCCCCACCCGGCGGGGCTTGATAGGGGACCTGAGGCCACGCCCCCCAACCCAGTGCTGGGCCGGGGGGAACTGAGGCTGCGCCCCCAGCCCGGCACTGGGCCGGGGGATCTCAGGCCACGTCCCCTACCTGGTGGGGCTGATGTGGGACCTCAAGGCACACTCCCTGCCCCAGCCTGGGCCAGGGGACCTCAGGCCACTCGCCCTACCCTGGTGGGGCTTGACAGAGGACCTCAGGCCATGTCCCCGGCCTGACTTGATGGGGGACCTGAGGCCACGCCCCCCACCCAAGTGCTGGGCTGGGGGGACCTGAGGGTGTGCTGGGGGACCTGAGGCTGTGCCCCGAGCCCAGTGCTGGCCTGGAGGATCTCAGGTCACGTCCCCCACCTGGTGGTGCTTGATGGGGGACCTCAAGGCATGCCTCCTGCCCTGGCCTGGGCTGGGGGACCTCAGGCCATGCCCCCCACTCAAGCACCAGGCCAGGGGACTTCAGGCTGTGCCCCGGTGCAGCGGGGCTTGATGGGGGACCTCAAGGAGTGCCCCCCGCTCTGGTGCCAGGCCAGGGAACCTCAAGCCATGCCCCCCACCCAGCATGCGCAGGGGGACCTGAGGCTGCACCCTCCATCTGGTGGGGCTTGATGGGGGACCTAAGGCTGCACCACCCACTCCGTCGGGCTTGACGGGGACCTGAGGCTGCACCCCCCACCCAGTGGGGCTTGATGGGGGACATGAGGCTGTGCCCCCCACCTGGCAGGGCTTGATGGGGGACCTAAAGCTGCACCCCCAGCCCGGCGCCGGGCCAGGGGACCTGAGGCTGCGCCGCCCCCGGCTTGACAAAGGTGGGGCCAGCCAGGTCTGGATCTTGCCCAATGGGGGTGGGGCTGGTTGGGTCTGGGTCTCGTGTGATTTTGAGTTGCCGCATGTGGGTGGGCACTTGACTCTGGGTCCCACGGTGCACCCCAGACTCTGACAGGAGGAAGATTTTCATATACATTTTACTTATTTTCTTTCATCTCTGACACTTCTATTATAGAGAAAGGGCAAATAGCAATATTAAAATATTTCCTCTAATTGATACCCTTTTAATGTGCATGAATTTCATGCACCGGGCCACTAGTTGTAAATAACGTTGCAATGAACATGGGGTGCATATTCTTTCAAATTAATGTTTTGGATTTCTTTGGATATATTCCCAGAAGTAGAATTGCTGAGTTATAAGGCAGTTCCCTTTTTAATTTTTTTGAGGTAATTCCATACTGCTTCCCACAGTGGCTGCACCAATATGCATTCCCACCAACAGTGTAGGGTTGCCTTTTCTCCATATCCTTACCAACACTTGTTCATTGATTTATTGATAGTAGCCATTCTGACAGGGGTGAGGTGATATTTCATTGTGGTTTTAATTTACATTTATCTGTTGATTAGTGATGTTGAACATCTTTTCGTATGTCCATTGGCCATCTGTATGTCCTCTTTGGAGAAGTGTCTATTCAGTTCTTTGTCCATTCCTTAATTGGATTGTTTGTTTTTTGGGTGTATTTTTCATAAGTTCCTTAAATATTTTGGATAGTAAGCCCTTACTGACTATGCTGGTGAATATGTTCTCCCACTCAGTAGGTTATCTTTTCATTTTATTGATGTTCCTTTGCTGTGCAATACCTTTTTATTTTGATGTAGTTGCGTTTATTTTTTATTTTTCCCCTTGCCTGAAGAAATATATCAAAAAAATATTGCTACAAGAAATGTCCAAGATTTTACTGCCTATGCTTTCTTCCAGGATTTTTATGGTTTCATGTCTGTAATCCATTTTGAGTTTATTCTTGTGTATGGTGTAAGAAGGTGGTCTAGTTTTCTAATTTTCCCAACATCATTTATTGAATAGACTTTCTTTACAACATTATATATTCTTGCCTTCTTTGTCAAATATCAATTGACTATAAAGACCTGGGTTTACTTCTGGGCTCTCTGTTCTGTTACATTGATCTGACTGTTCTTATGCCAGTATCAGGTGGTTTTCATTACAATGACATTGTGGTATAGGTTGATATCAAGTAGTGTGATATTTCCAACATTGTTCTTCTTTCTCAAGATTACTGAAGCTATTTGGGGTCTTTTGTGGTTCCATATAAATTTTTGAAATATTTGTTCTAAATCTGTGAAATATGCCATTGGTATTTTTATAGGAATTGCGTAGAATCTATAAATTGCTTTGTGTAGTATGGGCATTTTAATGATGTTAATTATTCCTATCCATGAGCATGGTATATATTTCCACTTATTTGTGAATTCCTCAATTTCTTTCTTCAGTATCCAATACTTTTTCAAGTATAGGTCTTTTATCTCCTTGGTTAAATTTATTCCTGGGTACCTTATTTTCTTTTGCTGCAATAGTAAATGGGACTGTTTTCTTATTTTCCTTTTCTGATAGTAAATTATTGGTGTATACAAATACCACCAAATTC